TGGGCAGACCAGCCGCTCAGAACTCAGTCATCTGATCCCATCATGGGAACCACCACTCACAACTGGAGTCCAGCCAAGTTGACACATCTTCAACTATCACAGATATTATCCTATCACTGACAGAACTGTACTTCAGGATGGATATCGAGATGTTCTTTTTGACAATGAATGCAAAATTATTCCTCTTCAATTTGTCATTCCTGGCAATGCAGGCCATATGATTTGTGTGATTCAAAATGGCCAATACCAGTCCATTTCAGCTCAGTAATGCCTAGGATATTGATCTTTATACATTCCATTTCATTTTTGACAACTTCCAACTTTCCTAGATTCATACTTCATACATTCCACATTCTGATTATTAATGAATGTGGTAGCTGTGCTCTTCCCATTTTGAGTCATGACCCATCAGTAAATGAAGGTCCTGAAAGCTTTACTTCATCCATGTCATTTAAGGTCAACCCTACTTTGAGGAAGCGGCACTTCCCCAGATGTATTTTGAGTGCCTTCCAACCTGTTTCATCTTCCAACACTGTATCAGACAATGTTTCACTGCTATTCATAAAGTTTTCCCACAAGATATCAGTGTTGCACTGCTATCCATAAGGTTTTCAGTGGCTAATTTTTTCAGAAGTGGATGGCCCCATCCTTATTCCCAGTCTGTCTTAGTCTGGAAGCTCCTCTGAAACATGTGTGCCATGGTGACCCCACTGGTATTTAAAATACTGATGGCACAACTTCCTGATTCACAGCCAACACACAAGCCACCACAGTACAAAATGACAAACTGACAGACAAGTGTAAAATCAGACTCCATTTATTTGATCTAATTTTCTGGTTTTCGTCATAATTCATTTCCCCTCATAAATAATTTTAATAGAGCATTATCTCACATGAATAGTAAATGACCAACCTGGATTAGGACAGCATCTTACCCTTCCTTCAAATGGAATCACTGTGGTCTTTAGAAAGTACTGTGAGGTTGTTTCATGTGTCTGGAACCTTCTTCCTTACTTTCTCCTCTACATTCTTATTTGTCCTTCAACATTTGTCTCAAGTGTCATCTTTTCAAGAAATTTCTCTACCCCAGGTGGCTCCCTTCCTCCTCAGGAAGAACTGGAGCTACTCTTCCATGGTCCCCCATAACCTTGAGCTCACTGTCATAACTTAACTCCTTGCAGATGCTATAATGGATGTGTTCCTGAATCTCCAACCACACAGCTGTCAGTGTGTTAGAGTGCCTTACAAGCACTGCATCTCTGCCCCGTGGCACATGCCTGAAAAACACCCAGCACACAGCAACTGTCTGTGGCATGATACAGTACACCTCTAATGCCTCTGTGAAATAACCTACATGAGTCAGAGCCAACTTGAAAGCAGTGAGTTGGGTTTTTGGTTCTATTCTAGATATAAAATGTTTCAAAAGATCCTGTATTTATTTATGACAGACAAAAAGACCTACGTCATTTTAAAGTATCAATATCAGCTTACACAAAAATCAAAATTCCTAAGTTGTAAACAAAAAACATTTTAAAACATTAAAATTATAGACCATATATAATACTGGAAAGTATTAAGTACTAAATTTAAACACTCTAGTATTTGGCTGATCTCACCCAAGAAAATATGTGCACTTGTTAATTTATGAAAACTTCATTTATTTGCCAGTTATAAAAATAAATGGCAATCGTAAAATCTATGATACTATAGAACAGGGTATTTTTTAATTAAATCATTAAGATATATATTTAATATGATCTCAATGTGGACAGCATTCTGACATTACTCACTCACTGCCATTGAATCAGATCCAACTCACAGCGACCCCTCCTTGGGTTTCCAAGGCAGTATCACTATGGAAGCAGATTGCCCAACATATTTTACATAGTCCCTACTTCTGTACTGTTACTTTTAGAACAGTTATTTAGTATTTTTAGCTAAACAGTTATCACTTGATTGACCTTGGAGCCTTAGTCACACATCACTGAATATCCACAATACAAAAAAAAAAAAACAACCTAACCCACTGCCATCTAGTCAATTCTGACTCACAGCAACCCCCACTAGGTTTCTGAGGCAGTAAATCTTTATGGAAGTAGATCACTCCATTTTCCTTCCGTGGAGCAGCTGGTGGATTTGAACCACTGACCCTCTGGTTAACAGCCAAATGCTTTATGCACTACACCACCAGAGCTCCTTGTATAATCACTACCATAATCAAAATATGGAAGATTTCCATCATCCACAATATGCCCTGTGAAACAGGATGTTGTATGATTTGGACATTGTGCAAGCATGCTTAAATGGTGAGCAAATATAGCATTCACGGATTTTCTACCTTCGTGTTGTCTATTAACCTTTTGGTTCACTTACAAATCAATACTTCTCCATTGCCTCTTGCTGCTGCTATCACTAGCATTGGTGTATCCATGATACACTTCATGGTAATATTTTCGAAAGAAAATTAAACAGAGAGATAACACTACAACATTCAAGAGATGTACAATATATGAGATTGGATATGCTGCCTACCAGTAGAAGCATACACTTCTTAAAAAATTAATTATTTTTAAGTAGGGAAAGCTCACATTAAAATAGCTATAGAAAGTATTGTTGTTGTTGTTATGTATCGTCAAGTCGGACCTGACTCATAGCGACCCCTCCTTGGGTTTCCGAGGCAGTATCACTACAGAAGTAGATTGCCCCATTTTCCTTCCGAGGAGTGGCTGGTGGGTTTGAACCGCCAGCCTTCTGGTTAGTAGTCAAGTGCCTTAGCCACTATGCTACCAGAGCTCCCATAGAAAGTATAGTACAGCATATATAAGCCAGGAACATAGGTGCTTTTTATGACTGTCAAGACATATGTATTGCAGGTTATATATGTAAAACACCATTATGCAAGCAGCTCTGGTGCTGTAGTGGATAAGGCACTTGATTGCTAATTGGAAGGTCAGTGGTTCAAACCCACCAGCTGCTCCACAGAAGGAAGATGGGGCGATCTACTTCTGAAACGATTTACAGCCTCAGAAACCCAATGGGGGTTGCTATGAGTCAGAAACGACTGGATGGCAGTGAGTTTTTTTTTTTTTTTTTTAATATACCACTACACAGTTGGCAGTGCAATCACTTTGCACAGAGGACACATAACTGAAATACATACGGTAACGGCTTCACTTTTGCCCTTTCTTACTGGGACAATTCTACTTATATTAATAAGACTCTCCTAGCTGGCATTTCTAATGCTAGTCTCACATGGAACCTGAGAACAATCTTCAAATTTTTAAACTATTTTGAAACTTAGTCAAAATTATTCCCCTCTATAAAATATGGTAAAACTTTCAATGTACCACTTGCATTTTCTCAGAAATATTCTTTGCCATGTCAGGACTATATTAGTCAGGTGCTCAAACTCTATTCTAATAAAATAATTGGCAACTTAAAATGAGATCTTTCTTGTCAATGAGATTAGTACATTTTAAAAATATAGTCCTATCTACTCCATCTAAATACATAATAAATACCAAACCAAAAAAAACCAAACTCACTGCCATCGAGTCAACTACGACTCCTAGCGACCTTTCCTTGGGTTTCTGAGGTGGTATCTCTATGGAAGTAGATTGCCCAGTCTTCCTTCCAAGGAGTGGCTGGTGGGTTTGAACCACCAGCCCTCTGGTTAGCAGTCAAGTACCTTAGCCACTATGCTACCAGAGCTCCTTAATAAATATCAGGGTACATTAATAGGGGGCAATTTTTTTTTACCCACTTCTGATTGTTGTTGTTGTTATGTGCCATTGAGTCAGACTCAACTCATAGTGACCCCTTCTTGGGTTTCCGAGGCGGTATCACTATGGAAGTAGATTGCCCACCCTTCCTTATGAGGAGTGGCTGGTGGGTTTGAACCACCAGCCTTCTGGTTAGCAATCAAGTGCCTTAGGCACTATGTTATCAGAACTCCCTCCTCACTTCTGATCAGTCTGTGGCAAAACACTGACTTTCATACATTGCTTCTAAGAATTGTGAAATACACAGTCCTTTTAGAAAGCAATCTGATATATTTCTCAAGAGCTTTAGAATATTTATATCCTGTAACTCAACATTCCACGACTATGAATTTATCTTACAGAAATAATAGTTCTGAATACAGAAAAAAATTGTTCTGCACAGATACGTTCACTGCAGGATTATTTACAACTGTGAAAAAATAGAAAGTAACTTAAATATCTAAGAACAGGAAAAAATAAATTATGAGCTCTCAAAAACTAAGTAACAACTCTTAAATCTATTAAAAGACAGTTAAGTAAATTATGACTTTCAAAGAATTGAATATTGTGCCACTATTAACACAGATGGGAGCTCTGGTAGCATAGTGCCTAAGGCACTTGACTGCTAACCAGGAGGCTGACGGTTCAAACCCACCAGCCACTCCTCGGAAGGAAGGTTGGGCAATCCTACTTCCGTAGTGATAACTGCCTGGGAAACCCAAGGAGGGGTCGCTATGAGTCAGGGCCGACTCGACGGCAAATAACAACAACAACAACATTAACACAGATACTTACAAACATTATGCCATAAAATAAAATGTAATAAAAGGAAGATGCATCACAAAAACATGTATGTATGTATAGACACATTTACATTTAAGTAAAAAAATAAAAATACAAGCATAGAAAAAAATGCTGTAAGGAAATGTACCTAGAATTATTAAAGTGGCTATTATATGGTAAGATTATGGACTTTTGTTGTTATTTTTATCTTTTTCACCAGTATTTTAATGATGTATTTTTTAAATGGAAAAAAAAAGTTTTAAGAAATCTTACTATACACACACACACACAAAAAAAGATAATGATGGCTCAAAGCTTTTATGATGCAATATATTCATGTATTACAGAGTTCATTAACTTTAAAAACAGTAAATAGTACCAGCACCATATTCATCCAAAATCCTATCTTTTCAGAAAGCAGTGAAGAAAGAGTGGCTGGAATACAGAGGGACTTACATAATTGTCTCTTGCAGACCAGCCTGGATAAAGCTGCATATGTAGCTGTCTTTCCTTCCGTGCTAATTCATAATATTTAGCCTGCTCTTCACGGGAGAGGGCGTGCCACTAAAATGAAAAAAGAAGAGGTGGGGGGAGAAAAAGTCAAACAAAAGTAAACAAAATAGTAATAATATTATATATTTCATGTTTCGAACACTGAAAAATGAAAATATTAAGCATTTAAACTTTATTTTTAAACGGCAAAAGACCAAGTACTGGAGAATTCCACTTGGAGTCTGGTGGCTACAGTGAAATTCAAACTTCGGTTTCTCTATCCTGTTCTCCAATATCAAATGAAACACATCAAAGTCAATCAAAGTATCCAAAGTAAAATGATCTCTGTCACCCACCCTTGCTCTTTTCCAATATAAATTAAAAAGAACTTTCACTGGTGAACCTCAACACCCAACTTAGCCCTTTTTGCTTAGTTTGTAGCACATTCTGATATCTGAGTCCAACTACCATTTATTTATGCAAAATGTGATAATTTCCAGATGTCTTTTTTATACCCTCTCCTCACATGGGCACTCTCATTCCATCATATGAAGAGTCTAAAACCTTAAAAATAATGAGCTTGCATCATATGATCCTGTATAGAGCAAGACATTCAAAGTTAGTCTCTGTTGCAGCCTCTTCATCCTCTTCTCACACTTATATAAACATTAATTGTCTACAGGGAGAACACTGAAAACACGGTACAATCACATGGAAAGAAAGGAGAATTATCTAAGCTTATTTTGCCATCTTTAACTTGAGACTTTTGTGTCTAATTTGGATAACGTAGCTGCCGACATCCTCCAACCTCTCCATTGCCCATTTACATAACTGATAAACTTCTGTGTACCATATATGTAACAAAATAGCTCATGTGGGGAAAGTCTCCATTTTGGGTGTTTTTAAGAGGCTTGTACTTGCAAGCTGCCTTGCATACATTTGCACACAACTCACCCAAGGCCCCTAATAGACAGTTTTCAAGTATGTCCTCTACATCCCAAATGCCAGCAGGGTCTGCCAGCAGAACCATCCAGGGGGTACTGGCTGGGCTTTGGGGGACTCACTGGCCATGAACCTATCACTCAGGAGGCAGCAGGTGTAGCAGAAAGACAAATCACCCCCGCCCCAGCCAGCCCTGCTGCACCTGGAGCTTCATCACTCTCCACAGGGTAAAGTGACAACATCACTAGGGTTGGTGTCACCCAGGGCAGTAACATGGATGTCAATGTCACCTCCTCATGGGCAGAGCTGGGCAATGAACAGCCTACCAATCCCTCATTTCCCAACCCCTGGGCAGAGTGGCCTAGCCCATCCCCACTCCTTGGCTCCCCCAGCTCCTCCCCTCTCCCACTGGCCAAGGTAGAAACTCTCCTCTCCATAGGCCTGTGATAGTTCAGGCTGTTTTCAGCATGGCTGGATCATGATTCTGAGTGGTTTAAGCAATTGTGCTGTTCTTTCTCATTATGAGATCTGATGTAAGACAGTCACCTCTATAGTGGGATATGCTTTGACCAGCCAATTATGTGGAAGATCCAACAACCTAGATCCTATTGTGTTGTCTGCTGATCTTGGGTTCATCAAGCCCTACAGCTGCCTGAGTCAGGAAAAGCCTCCAGCTTCACATCTGACTCATGAACTTGGGACTTGCCAGCCTCTACAACTGTCCTATGAGCCAATAATCCACCATTTTGTCTGCTGATCTTGGATTCATCATTCGTGAAGTCAGCAAACTGCTGTGCTGCCTGCCAATCTTGGGTTTGTCCACCCCTGCAGCTGTGTGAGTCAGGAAAGCTCATCATTGATGTATAACCCAGGAACTTGGGACCTGCCAGCCTCTATAATTGTGTGAACCATCTCCCTGCGATACATTTCTCTCTCTGTCTCTCTCCATATATATAAATTTTACTGGTTTTGCTTCTCTAGAGAACCTAGCCTAATACACAGGCACCATGGCATGCCTGCCTGCATCCTGACTAGTGGGTCAATGGGGCAGGGGTAGTGGGGAGGTGATGGTGGTGATGAGTTAGTTACTACACTAGGTGACAGATGACACCAACCCTAGTGACGCCACTGCCTTAGCAGTTCCCCCCCCCTTCCCCCACAGCACCAGACTGCCTGCCTGCCGCTGCCACAAACCCTGGGGTTGTTTTGGTATCACCTCCTGACAGTGGCGGGTGCGAGTCACATCCTCCCCAGTGATGTCACTAACTGGGTGTGCCTTCAGCCAGGAGTCTCTTTGTTCCTCCTCTCCCAGTCTGGGGTGTGGAGCTTCCCTTTCTATTTCCTTCCTATCCAAACCTAGGAGATGCTTTCCTATTCATGGTAACCTATGTATCAGATTTTAATTTCCCTGTTTATTAAAAAAAAGAAAAAGAAGAAAAACAAGCGTGGGTAGGCTGGAAAGGGAGTCAGGGAAGGTGGTGGATAAAAGAGAAAAAAGTGTCACAGAAGAGGCTATGTCTAGGTCCTCATCAACTTCTCCTCAGCCTTTAACCTATGACTGAGATGAGCAGCAGGTGTCCTGGCAAAAACAGGAACACCTGCTGCTCTCTGAAAATACAGTAAGAACCTGAATGACCTCAAGAGAAGCACCACAGCACCTTCCCCTGCACATTCTGCCCTGCACTCCAGCCACAGTGCACACTGCAATGCCTCAGGGCTAAGGTGACAGGTTCCACTTCCTATAAAAAGCCCCCAAAAAGCCAGGCCTCTGGTCAGAGAAGATAGCATATTTATTTTTTAATTGCTTTCAGAGTGCTGACTGGCAAATTTAAAAGCATGACACAGAGCAGGACTTGGCCCAAGCCAAGGGCAAATCAGGCAGTCTGCTTTTGTTAAAAAAGAAGTGTGGGTGTGAGTGTGTGTATGGGGGGGGGGCAGGGGAAAAAAAAGCAAACCCTGAAAAAGTTATCTGAGACACAGTTCTTCATGCTAGCAGAGTAAACACAATTAGACAAAGTAGATACAAGAACAAGGCATGTCTAGGGCAGCAGTAGAAGTCTGTGGAAGTAGGCAAGAAAGGTCCTCCTACTTCACCAATTGATGGCTTTTCTGACTTTGAGACCCTGACCGAGAAGTAGAGATACTCAGGGAGAGAAACAAATTGTACACAATAGAAAAGATCATCCTGATATTTGTGAGAAAAGACTGACCATTTTTATGTACAGAGTTAGCTCTGGTGCTAAGAAAATGTGAATAACGAGACAAAGTCTTTCAAAAAAAAAAAAAAGAAAAGAAAATAAGAAAGGTTAGAAATAATCCTTTCAAAAGTTGTTTGTTCATTCGACAATATTCTCTCTATACCCCCAACTGCCATCAAGTCAATTGCAACTCATAGTGACCTTCCAGAACAGAGTAGAACTGCCCCATAAGGTTTCCAAGGCTGCAATCTTTACAGAAAGCAGACTATCTCTATAGTGACTTACACAGAAAATGAACCACCTGCCATCAAGTTGGATCCAACTCATAGCCACCCCTCCTTGAGTTTCCGAGACGGTATCACTACGGGAGTAGATTGCCCAACCTTCCTTCCGAGGAGTGGCTCGTGGGTTTGAACCGGTTAGCAGTCAAATGCCTTAGGCACTATGCCACCCCAGCTCCTAAACAGTGACTTACATTACTAAACTATATCTAGAGGTATTTTATATAATTTATGGTACTTCCATAACTTGCTGAGCAAAACCTGAATCTTAAATAAAACTTAGTTTCCAAAATACATACGAAGGTTGGATATAGCTTCTACACAAACAATCATGTATTTTTAAGTTAAAGCAGACTCAGGTTGACAAAAAGACCCCAGTTAACAAAACTGAACAACACACAAAGAGAAAAAGCAGAGAACGAGCTATTTACTTGCATTTTCAACTGCTTTTAATTCCTTGATAGGGGTTTTGGCATATACAATATTTCTAAAGCCCCAAACTGACATATAAAAGCCTAAAACTGTAGATAAAGTGACAGTATTGAAGTTTTACATTAAAACCAAAAATAAAGTCTAGTACAGACTAGAGAGATGGTCTGTCTTTATAAGAATTTCTGAAACATAATTGAATAAAAGCCCTTTTTTTAATCTGTTTTGCTTGTATAAAATAAAGAGGTAAATTTAAAAAAAAAGAAATTTTGTTGTCAAGGTTTCACCAAGTTGTAGGGTTAATTATCCATTTTAGAGAAAACTTGTACAATACCAAGATAAATAATCATGAAAACAAATCTCCAATAAGTTGACTTTTATTAATACCCTAAAAATCTGAAAAGAAAAACACAATGCACCCCCACTGCCAAGTCAATTCTGACTCACAGTGATCCTGTAGGACAGAGGAGAACTGCACCACAGGGTTCTCAAGGCCACACATCTTTATGGGAGCAGACTGCCACATCTTTCTCCCATGGAGCGACTAGTGTATTCTAACCACCGACCTTTCAGTTAGCAGCCAAGTACTTTAACCATTGCATCACCTTGAAAAGAAACAGCCTATTCTGAAATAAGATTTGTGATATTATTATTTGCAACAGGAATTAAGAAGAAATCATTGGCTAACTCATTATGAAGGAACATTTTAATTTTAGCGCTACAGTGAAAATGAGTGAATGTTAATAAATGAAATGTTCCAAGATGGATATAAGATCCACTTTTAAGAACTCTAATTATCCCAATGTAAAACTTCATGATTGGAAAGCCAGGAACTTTAAAGAACCAGCAACAACTTCCCTGCCAAAGGGAAGTTATGAAAGGACAGAAAACCTGATCTTAATCAAAGATCTCAGAGACCTATAAATAGAAGCAGGTGTCCAAATCAAAGACAGAGAGAGACCCCAAATGAGAACCATCCTTTAGGGCACATGCTCTGATCTGGAGATTGGTAAGGGAGCTGAGAAAGTAGCAACTGTTGAAAACATGCCTTAAAAATAGGAAGCATTCATTCCTCTATATCACTTACTCTCTTGAGCAGGAAAATAATTCCCAATGGAAGGCCAGGGGTCCTTTAACTCAAAAGAGAAAAAAAAAAAAAAAAAGGAAAAGCTAAAGATTTTGCACACACTGAAATGAAAACGTCAACCCTTCTGTTCCTCTGATTTTGTCTTTGAAAAGGTCATGGAAAATGATCATCATCACCCTTTAAGCTTTTGAGGTGGAGCTCTTCAAAGATGATGGGAATCACTCATCTGCTATGATCTGGCTTGGGAAATCATTGTAATTATTGTTATTAAGTGTTTAAGCATCCACGGGGAGATAGAGCATTGCACACAGGACACCAAAAAAAAGGCTATAATCTACCATCACACCCTACCCCTGAAAACCTGGTGTCTTGCAGACTGGAAATAGCTGCGGTTTTCAGGCTTTCCAATAGGAATCGATAATTCAAGGTCTGTGTCCCTTCTGTTTACACTGACTGGCAACTTCCTGAATATTTTCTATTATGAGTGTTCAAATTCATTAGGTTTCCAACAGACGTGGTAAAAATCACCATCAACAACAGCTAAAACATGACAACAAAACAACAACTAAGTTTCACAAATGTTCTTAGACCCTCCTGATCTAAATGCTCATGGGCACAATTTAAGAAGCTATCTGCATATATGGAGCCCCCTGGGTGACATAAAGAAGTAAACATTTGACTGGTGCCCAAAAGGTTGGAGGTTCGAGTGTACCCAGAAGCTCCTTGAAAGAAAGTTCTGGTGATATACCTCCAAAAGGTCACGGCCATGAAAACCCTATGGAGCACAGTCCTACTCTGCACACATGGGGTAGCCATGAGTCAGAACCAACTCGACAGCAACTGGTATCGCACATATGTGAAGACCACCAACAAATCAAGCTGAAGCATTTTCAAACTTTGAATGTAATTACGGTGAAAATGGAATTTGAATCAGAATAATCCCATTTCTTTTCTACCACTCTTTAGATACCTAACTGAAACCATTTCAACTTTGAGAAAAGTAATCAGCCTTTTGGCTGGTGGTTGGATAAAGAAATCTTAACAGCCTAGTTGCAGCCTAGTGCTGGGTACTTGGCAGATGCTCAGGAAAATACCTTGCTGTTGTTGCTGCTGTTAGGTGCCGTCAAGTCGACTCCGACTCCTAGCAACTCTATGTACAACAGAATGAAACACTGCTCAGTCCTGCGCCAGCCTCACTATCTTTGCTGTACCTGGGCCCATAACTGCAGCCGTTAAGTCAATCCATCTCGTCGAGGGCCTTCCCCTTTTGTGCTGACCCTCCACTTCACCAAGCATGATAGACTTCTACAGGGAATAGTCCCTTCTGACAATATGGCCAGAGTAGGTGAGACAAAGTTTGGTCATTCTCGCTTCCAAGGGGCATTCCCAGCCGTACTTCTTTCCAGGACAGATTTGTTCATTCTTCTGGCAGTCCAAGGTACTTTCAGTATTCTTTGCCAACACCACAACTTAAAAGCATCAACTCTTCTTTGGTCCTTCTTATTCACTGTCCAGCTTTCACATGCATATGAGGTGACTGAAAATACCATGGCTTGGGTTAGGTGCACCTTTGCTCTTCAGCACTTTAAAGAGGTCTTTTGCAGCAGATTTTCCCAGTGCAATATGACGTTTGATTTCTTGACTGCTGCTTCCATTGGTGTTGATTGTGGAACCAAGTAATACAAAACCTTTGACAATTTCAGTCTTTTCTCCATTTACCATGCTGCTGCTTATTGGTCCAGTTGTGAGGCCGAGTACTGGGTACATGGTAGATGCTCAAGAAAATATCTTAGCATGTGTGAAAGAAGAAAGAAAAGGACCCATCCATCCAGAAAGAAACCCAGCACAGGTGCAGTTCAAGAATCAGCTGTATTTTCCAGAATAAAGATTTCTCTGGCCCACATAAATTCTTCCATTTAAATCTTCAGGGTGGAACAGATCAGTTTCTGTCTTGGAGGGAATGGCCACCTCCATCTCCCAGGGTTCAATCAGCAGCATTGCTGGTCCCCTACAGGCCTTTCTGCAGCTCCCTAAATGAGCTGTGTGCTGTTCTGCTTTAGAGTCTACACACACATTATTCTATCTGAGAAGAGTCCAGAGTTCCCCACTGACTACTTGGCCAATGCCCAATCACCTCTCAGGCCTCAGCGTAAATACTATTTTCTCAGAGGGGCCTTCCCTAACTCCCAAATCAAAATGATGCACCTCCTGCCATTCTTTCTAACAGAAGCTTCCTCTTCACAGTCACATATTTATCACAATTTTAATTACATATATACTGGGTAATTCTTCATCTAATATCTATATCCTGTCACTAAACTTTAAGCTCTAAGAAGTCAAGGACTATTATTATTATTATTATTTTAGCAATTATTACCTAATGTCTAGCACACTGCCTGGCACACAAAACACAATGAATATGTGCTTAAAGAATGAAAATAGTAAAAACTGTTACCATTTTCAGAAAGGTTCCTATGGCCAAGGCAAGTTAAGGTGTGTTTACAATTTATTATATCATGTAACCCTCCCCAGGGTTATTACCCTGGTACCTTGTGTTCTTTGTCACTTCCTGTAGGGCCTAGTAGTTATACTAATGTTTCCAATGGCCACCTGATATGTAATTAAATTTGTGCAGTTTTAACAAAGCAGTACTATGGTTACCATAAACATTGGTATACATTCTCACTACTTACCCTTCTGCCTAGAATCTGGTTGATAGCTGCACTTTCCTTTAGAGTACACTCAGCTACGACATTTGCTCTCATTTCTTTCATGTATAACATAAAAGCATTCAGAGGTTTCTTAATGTGAGGTCTTTTTGGCTCCTGCTCCTTTCTCTGTTCGTGCTGAGGCTTCCTAAAAGGTGGTTGTGGTGGTGGTTGGGGGAGGGGGGAGGGGGAATAAGGAAGAGATGGGAGGAGAAGAGAAACAGAGCATCTGCTTACATCACTAGTCAAACTCAAAGCCTTTGGGCTCTCTACAAACCCCCAAAACACCAACAACTTTGAAGAGCAATGTTTGGTTCATTTGATGAAATACTGAGATACAAACAACCAAAACAGCTTTCTATTTCCTCACTGACTCTTCATGAGTAAGAATCCTTTGGTTAGAGAGAGTTTACCTATAGCTCTAGAAGTATTTGCACTTGGTAAAGAATTCTGCTGCTAGCCAAAAGGTCAGTGGTTCACACCTACCAGCCGCTGTGTGGGAGAAAAATGATGCAACCTGCTCCCACAACGATCTATAGCCTTGGAAACCCTATGGGACAGTTCTACCCTGTCCAACAGGGTTGCTGTGAGTCAGAAGTGACTCAGTGGCTGTGGCATTTTTTGTTTCTAAAAGTAGTATTTAACAACAAAGTGGAAATACATTTGGATTTGTAAAGAAGTTCCATCTAGGACCTTGAGGCCAGTTTCTTGTACCTCAGAATAAGTTGAACATACAGTACAGGTGGTCACACCTCTTTCAGGTTCTCAGAGGTTCTTAATTTTCTTGGGGTCAAGGGCTCTTTTGAGGAGCTAATGAAACTTTAGAACCTCTTCTCCAAATAAATGGCACATCGACTTCGTACACATTTGGACTATTACACGCTGTCTCGCAAGGCTCACCCTTCCATCTCCAGCCACAAACCCAAGATTAAGAAGGTCAACTACTAATCTTTTCAGGAAATTTATTCCTGCTTTAACACCCTATGGCAGTCCTGGCCCAGCAAGGAATCCTGGGTTTCACTCTTTTCCCTTAAATTCTGTGCATCTGAAATCTCAAACCAGAAAACTGCACTTCCAAAAGGAAATGCATTAAACCTCCGGTCTACTTCATTCAGGTACTAGCAGGTGCTTCCTAACACCCTAAACTGAATTAAAAACTGGTAGTAAATACTGAACAGCTCAAGATTATTCAATACCTAGGCCCTGTCTGTGCTCCTTTCTTATCTCAGAATAAAAATCTGAGCATTGAGAATCAAGCTGCTGAAAGTCATCAGGACAGAGCCTTCAAGGCACAACCACAACTGATTGTGACAATGTAAGTGACAGGGAAGGCCCAACAATAAAGAACTAATAGTGTTTAAACCCTCAGTATTTTCAAGCATTTGCAGATGAAGCCAGGTGCTACTTACACGTGCATTAGGTCACTGTCAGTGTGGGGATGCTCCTGTTTGACCTGAGGTGTTACAATGGCTGGATGAGGGATGCCAGTAGTGTGGGGACCAGGAGGACCGGGGATCATATGATGGGAAAACCTAAAAGAAGGAAAAAAAAGATGTACTAGTGGCTACTGTAGCAAAAACCTGGTGGAATTTCAAAATAGTCTATTAGCTGCTGTTGCAAAGTGTGAAAACACATCTCTTTATAAGTAGAAATATTAACTATAAATTATAGTGGGCTAATTTTTTTTTTAAATTTTCTATTATTAGGTGGACAATATTTATTATTACTCCCTGTATAACACTTTTTTTTTCAATCTACTAGCAGACTTTGACATTTTTCCTGAAAAGGCTCTAAGCCACAGAATTTTAAAAAAAAGGGAGGAATCACTTTTCTTGCAAAGCAGTTTTCAAATAAGAACTTTAATAAGAGCAATCACTGTACGTATAACACTTTATTAAAGTAATCTATTAAGATTTATTATGATTTTTAATTGGAAGCTAAAGATATCACACTTAAAAATCTCTCCCTCATAAGCAAACCATCACATTAAGAAGAGTTTTTGCCTATCACTGGTTTCTTCATTAATATTGTTATTGTTGTGTGCTGCTGAGTTCAGTCCAGCCCACAGCAATGCTATAGCAATCCTATTAGAACTTCCCCATAGGGTTTCCTAGATCATAATCTTCACAGGAACTCATAGCCAGGTCTTTCCTCCCACAGAGCTGCTGTGGGTTCGAACCAATTATTTGACCAATTATTTTTGGTCCCCCATTTAACGATGTTTCCATTAACATCATCCAAAATAATTTTCTATACAGAAAGAAGTGTTTAAGAGATCAGCCTTATGAAAAACTGCTAACAGAACTGAAAGGAAGGATTTACCTAAAAGGAAGGATGCAATTCTGAATCAAGGTAAAAAAAAAAAACTACATACAACAAAGACATACTTTTTCCCAAGTATGCTTGTAGAGTATGAAAATAATCTTAAAATATCCACCACCATCCAACACAAAGGAGGGAAACTGCCGTGCAAGAAAAATAAAATAAATAAAGACAGTACTTTCAACAAGTGCTTTGGGTAAATTTGGTTATGTTTTAGAAATTTTTGCTTTTCCAACTGTTTTAAAGTAAACATTTAATTCAATAAGGATAACATTCTTAGCCTTTCATCACAGCCTATACAATTAACTCCTTCAACTGAGACAGTGAAGGGATTCTGCTTGACTATGTAATATTTTAGGAAAAAATATTAAACAATTAAGGAGGTATAGTAAAAAAACAAGTATCTGATCAAATAATGAAGCTTTGCTAAGTATACTGTTTTCAAAGATACAGGATGTTGGTTATCTCTGCCTGTGAGAAACTCCTGTCATCAGATAGTTCTTCCAGTACTAGAAATAAGCATAATATATATATTTTTTTTGAGGGGAAAGGATATCAATTTTTCTATCCCCTCGACATCGAGGTTGGTAATTCACTGAACAAGTAATACATTTTTTAAAGCTGTAATTGAACATGGAAACTGCAAGTTTCATAACTATATAAAAAGTAAAGATTCACAACCAGTCAATAACCCAACAGCTTGCCTACCCTTGAAAAAGGCACACTGAACACAAAGATGATACACATCACGTGTGTGTACATCAAGCACAGGGCACAAAAGCCATCCTTTCCAGAAGCAAAGCATTACACAGAGCAGCCTCAGGTGTGGTATGGCAGGCCTCACAGAGCTTTGCTTGCACTAATGTATCCACACAGGGCCTGATTCACACACTAGGACCCACACCTCTTATGGCCTGACAGCTTGTGAGCACTGTTCTTTCTGTTCTCAAAGTCTTGGTCCAGGAAGGCTCTAGATTACCTGGGCATTTTCAATCACCTTCATATACTCAGTTACTACTTTGCTCAAAAGAAGCAAATTCTAGAACTCAGACCTAAACCATATTTATTCCCCCACCCCACTTTGCTCCATCCCCAGAATATTTTGAATCAAACAAGCTCTTCTTATAATGTCCACTTTTGGGACTTTTCACATCCCACAATCAAATGGCAATGAATACTTCTGGAGGCAATGTTTCCCAGTGTGGGTGAGTCAAGCTCACTGGTGGGTATGGCTGGTCCCCTTAGGCACAGCGTTGGTCTCCTACCCAGGAACATCTACGAGCCCTAGTGTGGGAGCCAGGCGCACTGCAGACAGACACGAGGTTAAGGTATGCACCCTCCTAGCCGACCAGAGGCAAGCAGAGGCACACAAGATGCAAGCGCAAGAAGAGCAACTTGTCCTCCAGTGCTCCATTTCCACCTCCACCTACCTGGACATGGAAGTGTCGACTGACAGTGAGGATGGGTAGGGTTGCCTGAATCCACCCGTGATGGGATATACAGGCTGACCTTGCCTGAGGTCACAGAAGAAAGGAACCCATCAATGACAAAACACCAGTTACCAACCAGCAATAAGAGTTTGATGCAGGGACAACAGGGAGGTAATTCAAATAGAATCTGTGGGTGTATTACAGGCCACAGAATTTCTTCAATTATCTACTTCCCTTCCTTACCCTCAACCCAACCAACACATCATTTTCCTTTTAGAAAAAAATCCCCCCACCCTCAACTTTAAAGGCAAACCAGTCTGTGTATTATTTGCCTTTTATCCCTTCCCCTCTCCCAATCCCATCAGTGCCTAGCACAATGCTTTGAACAAAGTAGGCATTTCCTATTGAATACAAAGGAGCTCTGGTAGCACAGTGGCTGAGGCACTTGCCTGCTAACCAGAAGGCTGGCTGTTCAAACCCACCAGCCACTCCTCGGAAGGAAGATGGAGCAATCTACTTCCATAGTGATACTGCCTTGGAAACCCAAGGAGGGGTGGGTTGCTATGAGTCGGGTCCGACTCAACAGCACATAACAACAACAACAACATCGAATATAAAGAAACCCTGAGAATAAGTGAAATATTCCTGTCAGAGAAGAATCTTAGTGAATTTTTTATCAACATCTTAGAGAACTTCAGAAAAGAGAAGAAAGAAGGAAATGAAAATTTATTCATATTTACACTGAAATGAACAAGCATTTTTAAAACACTGTAGACCCCCCCCCCCCCCACAGACTCATATTAGAGACAAGAAGTAAACGATCAATTCACTGGAATTCTTTTCTTTCCACCCTGGGAAATCCATCTTTCTCTCTGCTGTTCCCACATCTCACATGTTTTCTTAATACTACCTTTATTTCCAGCTGCCATTGCTGCAACTATGCACAGGATTATTGTCTGAAGTAGCTAAGTTCAAAAAGAATAATCAATCTAGGTCTGAAAGTATGTGCACAATCAATTCAATTAAAACAGAATTATTGACTGAGAGATACAGGGCTAGAGATAGTAAGAGACAGAGAGAGAGAAAGCTGGAACTTCCACAGCAGGATAACCATTCCTTGCTGAAGAAGCGAGATAATACTTGGATATAAAGGCAGGGAGACTAGAGAACCAGATTGAGAAAGGAGAAAAACATTTGCTAAAGTTGAAGATATGTTTTCCAGGATGTGAGAAATGGGGCAGGGAGCAATGGAGAGGGGATGGGAGTGGGTGGAGGAAAAGGTGTGTGCTAATAACAAAATGATAAAAATCGGCCACATTATATAAAATTATTCTTCCCAATTTTTCTTTTTTTAACCTTTAGAATTAAAAACATTAACGGTAGCAGTAAGAATTTTTTACAAATATATAAATCCAAATTTAATAAATAGTTAAAAAAAATAAATTTGAGTTCTGGAAAAAGCAAGCCCAAACATTAGTTTTTCACTCTTCTGAACTCAAACTGGATGTTCACTTCCTTTAACTCCAAAAGATGCTTTTATATTCTGAATTCCTCTCTAGTTAGTTGTTTTGTCATTTTCCTCAGCTGCCTATTTATAAGAAAAGGTGGATAAGCTTATGTTCCAAAATTATAAACTGTTCATAAAAAAACTAGAGAAAGAAAAACCACTGTGAGCTCTAACTTTGTACAGGCAAAGCAAATGCCCAAAGCCACAAACTGAATCCATAAAACTATAACCTTCAAAGGAAACTCTACACAGTCAATTTCTGTACATATTAAACAAACCGATTCAATCCATTTCAAAGTCTGTAAATTTTTTTAATCTTTTAAATTGAAATGAAACATAGTTAGCACCTTGCTTGCTGAAGTGAAATTTCTTCGACTCCTCAAGTGTTACTATTCATAATGGTAATTTCCATGAATGGAAAGTGTAAGAAGATGTGTTCAACTGCCTGGCTGCAGGTTGCAGGAAGGATCTTACCAGCCAAGAGGTGGGGTAATCTGTCCAACACCACCCGGAGACAGAGGATAAAAGGTGGGGATATCAGGAGCTGGAGGATGTCTGGACATGCCTATATAAAAAAAATAAAATAATGGAAAGGTACAGTTTTCAGATTGGCAAGACATTTGACCACAGAGCAATAGAAAAACAATGAAATGCTTTCTGCCATTAATAGTTCAGGTATTTAGTCACTAAATCCATTTAACTGAAGTCAGACTGTTAGCTTTTCTCAAGATTCCAACATCTGAGAAAGTCAGTCTTGGGAAACAGTGTATCTTGAAAAAGTAAATATATGGCCAGTGAAACAGTCACCAAAGCAAAGTTTTAAATTATTTGTTTTGCCCCTATTATTTCACTTCGGTTAAGAAAAATGGTTGGGCTTGTTTTTATGGAGAATGTGAAATTGTTTTGTGTAGTATGGGAAATGACAGCCCGCCATGGTGCTCAAAGATTAGGTAAATTGCCACTTTCATTATTTTCATTGGTTCCCTTATGGATATATAGATTTGGGAAATGGGATACCTCAGAGGATCAAAGATTAATTAGGAATCATCTTCAGCCCCCTAATGGTCACACTTGATATGATTCATTTGGTCTCTGCCACTTCAGCTCCAACTAAGCTCTTCATCAAGTTGGGTCCTCTGGGCACCAAGGTCAAGCTGTTCTGGATTAGTTGTATTCCACAGAAAATAAGAGTGCCACCAAATTGTTTCTTGAGCTCACACTCCCTGGAGCACACTGCCCTATAACTGTAAAAACCACCTCAAGATTATACCTAATCTTAGTCCCAAATGACATCCCTTTGTTTATACTTTACCTTAGGTGGAGGGGGAAAAAATGGAGTAAGATAAATACACAGGAATATAAAATATAGAAAGTTAAACTTAATGTAATCAAAGTAATTTGGAATAGAAAAAAAGGCACAAAGTTTTCTTTACACAGCTAATCATGACTTTAACAAGACCATTTCCATATATAAACACACTTTCCCAGGTTTAATACCCAGAATATGTCATTCAATGGTAGTAAACATACTCAGTATGTGGAATTAGGTGAGCACATGGAAGATATCAAAACACCTACTGACACTGAGTCAATTCCACCTCATAGCGACCCTATAGGACAGAGTAGAACTGTCCCATAGAGTTTCCAAGGTTGTAAATCTTTTAAGCTGATGGCCACATCTTTCTCCCAAAGAGTGGCCGGTGGGTTCGAACTGTCACCAACCTTTTGATTAACAGCTGAACCTAAACCACTGGACCACCAGAGCGCCTTACATGGAAGACACTATTTAAAAATTCTTTAAAAAAAAAAAAAAAAAAAAAACCTATTTAAAATTGTTTTATTTATTTAAATAGTTTTATTTATTTATTTAAAAAACTATTAAAATGCCTATTAATTTCACTTGGAACATAAAGGATACAGAAGGCCTTGAACCTATGGGAAGGCCTTAAGAAAAAAGTGTTGTCTATTTCCAAACTGGCATTTGACTGCTAACCGGAAAGTTGGCGTTTCAAACCCACCACAGCCACTCCTCGGAAGGAAGACTGGGCAATCTACTTCCGTAGTAACACCGCTTCGGAAACCCAAGGAGGGTTGCTATGAGTCAGGTTCGACTCATAGCACTGTGTGTTTTATAGAATGTAGGTCGTAAAGAGAAAAGTCTTTAATATCTTTCACTCTCTTTTTCAACAGTTGGTTGTTGTTGTTAGGTGCTATTGAGTCAGCTCCAACTCATAGTGACTCCATGTACAACAGAACAAAATACTGCCCAGGCCTGCACTATCCTCACAATCCTTGCTATACTTGATCCCATTGTTGTAGCCACTGTGTCATTCCATCTTGTTGAGGGCCTCCCCCTTTTTGGTTGACCCTCCACAATTTACCAAGGATGATACCCTTTCCCAGGAAATGGTACTTCTGACAACATGACCAAACTAGGTGAGATGAGGTCTGGCCACTCTGGCTTCCAAGGAGCATTCTGCTGCACTTCTTCCAGGACAGATTTGTTGTATGAACAAAGTTTATGTAAGATCATCTCATGTTTTGTTGTTTTTAAAAGAACAGTCTCAAGCCTCCTTTTAAAATATATGGCTAGAAATATTGATTATTTTGGCCACATTGTCCCCCAAATTTTATATTCTGGGATTTTTTTCCTCAGGTCTGGAATGGTTCAGGTTGCATAGGTGATCCTAAGGAGTCTACAGTGGTGAGACATGACATGTATATATTACCTGGTAGCTGGTTCCACCTTTCTGTCTTCCTCATCCTAAGATTGAGATACCTTCCTCAATCTCTGAGTCTGCAAGGGATTGCTCAGGTTTGAGCAGAAAAACCAAACAGACTCAGAGAAAGTTTAGAAACTGGAACGTTTCATTATATTAACTTGAAAGTCATGGTTAGAGATTGCGTTACTATTATTGTCATTGAGTTGTCTCTGACTCATGGCAGCCCCAAGTACAACAGAATGAAACTTTGCTCAGTTCTGTGCCATCTTTACAATAGTTAGTAGGCTCAAGTCCATTGCTATGTATTTTGAGTTTCTTCCAACCTTAGGGACTTATCTTCCAGCATTGTATCAGACAATATTCTGTCATGATCTATCAGTTTCCATTGACTGATTTTTGGAAGTAAATTTCCAGGCTTTTCTTCTTAGTCTGTGTGCAAGCCACCACAGTCTGACAAACAGATAGATGGGCGGTAATTTAGAGGTCAAAGACTAGCTCTGAATTATCTATTGTAATTCTTTTATTTTATAGATGTGGAAATTGAGGTCTAGAGAAGTTAAGTGACAGTTCAGACACCCTGTTCAAGTATATATAAAATATGTTTTAGTACAGTAATTTTATCACTGGGATGCAAATAAGTAACTTGCTTGCAATCACAGTGCAAGTCTTTAAACAAACAAGCCTAAAAACTTTACTCTCCTCTCTAGTTCATATTCTAAGTGTACTTAGAATAGAGCATCAGGTAATTACAGAACAAAACATACAAACTAGATGGACTTGGTTTTTTTTGGTTAAAAGGAGGAAGGAGGGAACCTGACATTCATTTAGCACTTGCAACATGCCAGGTCCTATAAGTCAGGTAGGGTCGAGTGCACTCCCACTCATGGCAGCCCCATGTGTTTTCAGAATAGGATTTTCTTTTCTTTAAATCTTGTTGTGATTTGGGTAAAAGTTTACAGAGCAAATTCATATATACTTTGTCTCATGACATTGAATGCAATTTCCCACAATGCAACAGCTGCCCTCTCACTTCCTCCCCATAGTTACCTCTGCCCTGTGTCCTTCCTTCCCTGTATTCCTGCCCCCTGAGCTGTCTCCCTGTGCATACACAGCCCTTCTATTCTCCAATGACTGATCTCTCCAAGGAGTGTAACCACCAATGTAAACGTTCAGCTCATATGCCTATCTTTTGTTTGGCTGGAAGCCACAGGAGGGGGTTCAATTCCAGACCTGAAGGGCAGCTAGGGGCCATAGTCCTAGGTGTTCCACCAGGCTCCATCAGACCAGCAAACCTGGTCCTTTTTAAAAAAAAAAAAAAAAAAAATACGATTTTGAGTTTTGTTTCACATTGTTCTTCCACTCTGTCCAGGATCTCCTACATAGACACCCCAGAATAGGATTTTCAGTGGCTCATTTTTCAGAAGTAGATCAGCAGGGCTTTTTTCCAAGGCACCTCTGGCTACGCTCATACCTCCAACCTTTCAGTTAGCAGCTGAGTGTGTTCACTGTCCGCACCAAATTTGACTGTAGCTATTGAATTCTACGGGAGCTCCGGTAGCATAGTGGCTAAGGCACTTGACTGCTAACCAGAAGGCTGGCGGTTCAAACCCACCAGCCACTCCTCGGAAGGAAGATGGGGCAATCTACTTCCGTAGTGATACTGCCTCGGAAACCCAAGGAGGGGTCACTATGAGTCAGGTGTGACTCGACGGTACATAACAACAACAACAAATTGAATTCTACTCATTGTCCACATGCCCTGCCCTGCTTCCATTTTCTCCCAACTCTTCTAGCTCTGAGAAATCTCTCTCTCCTTTGAAACTACAACATTTTATTTGCACTTTTAACATGGAACTTGGGATGTTTTTCATTTTCTTTTATAGTCAGTCTCTACCAATGATTTCCCGCATGAGCTTATACACTGCTTGAAAAAGAGAGACCATGTTTTACCAATCTACAGATGAAACCATAATTGTCTGCAGAGGAAGCTCTCAGCAAATATTTTTGAATGACTGAACAAACAAGTAAGTGAAATAAAACAATTAAAATTGACCCATTTCCTATGCAGGGCCAATATGATCAACATTTTAAAGCTTGCACATGATGTCACTTAGGTGATTCCCACCCACCCACTGCCAATGAGTTCATTCCAACTCACAGCAACTCTTTAAGACAGAGTAGAAGTGCCTCATAGGGTTTCCAAGGCTGTAAATCTTTGTAGAACCAGACTGTCTCATTGTTCTTCTGCAGAGGGCTGGTGGGTTCAAACCACTGACCTTTTGGTTAGCAGCTGAATGCTTTAACCACTACACTACCACAGCTCCTTGACTTAGATGATTAAGTTAGTAGTAAATCATCTAGGTTTTCCAATATCTTATTGTTGTTTTACAATCCTGGAAGTGTATGCCTTTCACGGATTCCTAGGAGCGTATGCCTCTCCACCAGCTACCATGTTACTGAAGACATTGTTGTGTTGTTGTTATGTGCCGTCGAGTTGGACTTGACTATAGAGACCCCTCCTTGGGTTTCCGAGCAGTATCTACCGAAGTAGATTGCCCCATCTTCCTTCTGAGGAGTGGCTGGTGGGTTTGAACCGCCAGCCTTCTGGTTAGCAGTCAAGTTCCTTAGGCACTATGCTACCAGAGCTCCTACTGAAGACACATTCCACATTATTTATTCAACTCAAAAACCAAAACCAAACTCACTGCCATTGAGTCAATTCAGACTCATATGACCCTCATTGGGTTTCTGAGGCTGTAAATCTTTAAGAAAGTAGATTGCCCCATCTTCCTTCCACAGAGCAGTTAGTGGGTTTGAACCACTGACCTTCTGGTTAGCCTTATCCACTACGCCACCAGAGCGCCTTATTTATTTATTCAAGTAAAGCGAAACAAAACAAAAAAAACCCCAGCAAACTTACTGCCCTTGAGTTGATTTGACTCATAGCAACCCCTCCTTGGGTTTCCGAGGTGGTATCTCCACAGAAGTAACTTGTTGTTGTTGTTGTTAATTGCCATCGAGTCGGTTAATATATGCCAGAGGCAATAATCAGCATCAGGATAATATTAAAAATATTTAAAATTTTAAAGTAAATTACATAAATTTAGAGGAGCTCTGGTAGCATAGTGCCTAAGGCACTTGACTGCTAACCAGAAGGCTGGCGGTTCAAACCCACCAGCCACTCCTCAGAAGGAAGGTTGGGCAATCCTACTTCCGTAGTGATACTGCCTCGGAAACCCAAGGAGGGGTCACTATGAGTCGGGGCCGACTCGACGGCAAACAACAACAACAACAACATAAATTTAGATAAAATTTTTCTGGAGTCAGACTGTACGGATTAATATAGCAAGTTTGCCATCCATTCACCATGTATCTTTGAAGAAGTTATTTAATTTTTATTGTAAAATCAGAATAACAACAGAACAGGGGTTGTTGAGAGGGATATGAACTAGTATATATAATTCCAAACAGTGCTTGGTACATAATTGTGCCCTTTACATGTTTTGTTTTGTTATTTATAAGGATAAAGTGGATAATACATAGTTATAAACAGGTACCTAAATCCAGTACTTCCTTTAATGGTGTTTCTTTTTAACATTTTTACCAGACTGATAAGGAGTACCAAAAAAAACTAATGTTAGCTTCCTTTCCTTTTCCTTCATACACACACACACATACACACACACACACAATTACACACAGGGAGGGGGGAGCTAATGAGCTTCCCTATAGGAATAGATGGAGAAGAATGCAAAATCATGTAAGTTTTCAGGACAAAATAAAGAAACTGCAATCAATCAGACAAACTTCAAGTCATAACCAAAGTTCCTTCTCTAAAATTACAGAAAATTAAAAAAAAAAAAAAATTAAGAAGCAATGATGCAGATTTCAGTTAGAGATGCCAAAAAAAAAAAAAAAAAAAAAAATTATGATAGCAGTTAAGAGATGGGAACAGAAGAGAAAATGTAAGTGTAATCGGCAACAAGTTATAAATTTCTTTTTTTTAAATGAATGGCCCCAGAATTCTTCAGAAGAAAACTAGTGATCCATGATATATGGCTCTCTTAAATAAATTCATGTTTAAAAGTGCTTAGAACAGGGCCTAGGATCTATACAGTAAAGCACTATGTAACTATTAGAGCTCTGGTGGCATAGTGTCTAAGGCATTTGACTGCTAACTAGAAGATTGGCGATTCAACGCCCCCCACCCCCCCACCCCACGCTGCTCTGTGGAAGGAAGATGGGGCAATCTACTTCTGTAAAGATTTACCATCTCGGAATCCCAGTAAGGGCTGCTATGAGTTGAAATCAACTTGATGGCAGAGTTTGGTTTGCTCCAACTGCTAAGGAGCTCTGGTGGTGCAGCGGTTAAGGCATTCGGCTGTTAACCAAAATGTTGATGGTTTGAACTCACCAGCTGCTCCGTAGAACAAAGATGAGGCAGTCAGTCTATTTCCCTAAAGATTTATAGCCTTGGAAACCCGATGGGGGCTGCAGTAAGTCAGAACAGACTTAATGTCAGTGAATTTGGTTTTGTGTATGTGTGTGTTTTGGTATATAACTGTTGGTTAAAGACTTTTAAAAAATATGTATATTACTCACATTTTATTGCTAATAGTTTGAGACTTTTATATGTATGTTTAATCATCATTTAGAGCTTTATGGCTCCCAGATGTGCATCTCTAGCTCAGACTCTGATCTGAGATTGTGACCCCACATGTTAAACTGCCCTGCCCACATGTCTCCCCTCAGATACCTCAAAGACATCTTAACTCACTGTGAACAAGATTATATTCTTATTTTTCCCTCTTACACTCAGTCTTCTCCCTAAGATCCCTAGCATAGTTTCCTTTCTCACCCTATATCCACAGTTGTGGTAGTTAAGATTATGTGTTAATTTGGCTGGTTGTGGTTCTGAGTGGCTGTGCAGCTGGATGTAGTTATTACCCACCCATGATTAGACTGTAATCAGGTCCATGGTGGAATCTGCTGTGAGCAGCTAAGTAGGTACCTTTGTGGTGTGGCCTGCTTCCAGTATATAAGAAGCAGCTTTGAGAAAAGTCTCTAGCTTTTTGGCATGCTTGGATCCTGCATTTGGCCAAGTCTTCATCCAATGGCCTGCTGTACTGTCTGCCAATCTGGGGATTGTTCCTGGACTTGAACGAGTGGCCTGCCGTGTGCATGTGAATCTTGGAAATGTGCCATTCTACTTGCCAATCTTGGGTTTATCAGCCTCAGCAACCAGCAGCTTCATGAGTTAAGGGAAGCCTGCAGCTCCAGTGGGCCTGGAATAAGAGGTACAACTGCAGCCCAAGGTTGAGGGGCCTTCATCTGGCCCCTAGAGCTGGCACTCTGAATTTGGACTTCTAGTCATCTGAACTGTAAGGGAATAAATTCCTGTTTGTTAAACCCATCCATTTGTGGTATTTGTTATAGGAGCACTAGAGAACCGAGTCCTTTTGATATTTCTTATTTTTTATATGCCCATGATAAAGGGCAAGAAGGATTGGGGGAGGACTTAGAATGAAGAATAAACAAGGGCAAACCTGGAAACTACTGCATAAGTGATTCTCATCCTCTGAGTCAGGATTAACTCAACAGCAATTGGTTTGGTTTTTGGTTTGGTTGAGAAGAGGTACTTGGGCTCCACTTGAGTTAGAAGTCCAACAGTAACTAATTTCTCAAATAAGTTTTCCATTTGAACTGTGGAGGTAATTGAAAGTATTAAGGATTAAACCTAAAAGTGTTAATGGAAACAACACTTAGCCTTCAGAAGTCACTCTTTTTCATATGCTTACTAAATTCTGTTGTCCGTTATAAGTCAAAGATAAAAACAAAAATCAAACCAGTTGCTGTCAAACAGATTCTGACTCAGGTCTTTCTTCTAAAGTGCCTTTGGGTGAATTTGAACTTCCAATCTTTTGGTTAAGAGTCAAGTACATTAACTGCTTGTACCACCCAGGAACAAAAGGATGAAATGCAGGAGGTGGAAAATTTTAACCTTCACATTCTCTGTTTTTATTTGGTTTTATAGGATTTTGAACCTCAAGACACTAGTAAGCTTGAAGTATGCATGTGCACGGAAAGAGCAAAGGCCATCCTATGAGCAAATTCACCCTTTCTTTTCTGTGTTATCCTCCCCTGGTAATCACCAAAGAATTACTTCTTTTTTTCTATGAAACCCTTTTCTTAACTTTCTACAATAGTGATCTCATGCAATATTAGTCCTTCTGTGATTGATTAACTTCACTCAGCATAACAGCCTCTAAGTTCATTCATGTTATGAGATGTTTCACATATTCATCATTGTTCTTTAACATCGTGTAGTATTCCATTATGTATACGTATCATAGTTCGTTGATCCATTCATCTGCTGATGGGCATTTCGGTTGTTTCCATCTTTTTGCTATTACTGTTAATAGCTCATGGGTGGTCAAATATCTGTTTGTGTCACAGCTCTTAGCAAATTCATCCTTGACGTTTGCCCTAAGCTGACCATATCAGAAGACTTGAAGAACCAGAGATCTGTGTCCTACAACCATAGACACATTCATATACATTACATAGAACTTTTTTTTTATTTTCCAGAGCCCTGGTGGTGCAGCAGTTAAAGCAGTGGGCTGCTAACTGAGAGGTTGGCAGTTCACATCTACCAGCTGCTCCATGAGAGAAACATGTGGCAATCTGCTTCTGTTAAGATTTACAACCTTAGGAACTCTAATAGGGCAGTTCTACTCTGTCCTGTAGGGTTGCTGAGCCAGAATCAACTTCATGGCAATGGGTTTCATTTGGTTTTATGCTGTATGTTTTTCTGTAAATGAAATAAGAAGCAGAACTTGATAGTAATATGAAGAAGCAAAATATGATTCATGCTGCTGTCAATCTAAACACAGAGAGTTTGTATTTTAATTATTATTTATAACATCTAAATGGTAAATTAAAAAATAGAAGAAAAAATACAATGGAGATATAACTGTATGACCAAAAGAAATCATAAAAGGATGAAAAAGAGAACATTTGAAGTGAAAAGACCCTACTTTGCCCCTTCTCTAACTTCTTTTACGTTTCTATCAATACCTTCTGTATAGGCTAAAAATCAATGGATACTAGGGGGAACACTGAATATTTAGTATATCTGTAGAACATATTGGATAATACTGTAGATCAGAGATTTTGAGAGTTGTCACTTTGATTGAAAATAACCTTCCTAGGCTTTTCTTGTTTCTTAGTAGCAAAAAAATAAAAGAAGCAACAACAGACTGCTGTGGGTTTATAGAGAATTACTATCAAGTAAATTACTCTTATCTCTTTCAAATGTATTTTGATCCACTCAGTGACACGGAGAAAAGACAATGGTAGGGTTACTTGAGCACCACAGGGGGACCAACTGAAGGCCTTGGAACCCTGTTCAGATAAAGGACGGGGCTCAGAAGGTAGGTGCTCTCACCTTGTTTGGAGTTGACATCTGATGGGATGTGTGATGGGTGTGATCCTGGAGAAAAGTGCTCATCGCTGTAAGTGATGAGGGGCGTTAGAGGATGGACCGCATGGGATGGCTGCACCACGGGCACTTTATTTGACTGCAAAGTAACAACAAAGTCAATAGTCAATGAGGATGCCCAGCTCATGTGTCCTTTCCCCAAGAAAAATCTGCATTATAGAAGTAACTGGCTGTCAGCATAAATCCAGCAATCATCTTTGGACCCTGGACAACTACAATCATCTGCTGTATACATTTAAATCCTCAGAATTTTTCTTTGTTAAATATTCCTCAAATTCATGACTGTCCCACTATACCAAAAAACTACCACTTATTTAGCCCAGGCCCTTTTGGGGATCAAGGCTGGTCTCTATTATTCCATATGACATGAATCTTTGTATGTACATGTTTATGCACCCTTTTGAAGTCTCCTCACATTAACTTCCACAAAGAGTTTCTGGAGCAAAAGTTATGAACATTATATAAGCTTTTGTCCATTAAATATGTCTGGCATAACAAAGGCATTAAAATTGTTCTATAAACAAATAAATGAGTATATTTATAAACAGACCAATAAATATAAATTTGGTACACTGATATCCCCCCCTTAGCTCATAAATTCATAATTCTATAGTTGTACATCCTTAAGAATCATGTCACAAAATTTCTCTCCATGTTTTATCAGTTTGCTTTGTCAATGAGTCATGACTATTCAGTTCAGCTTCTGGTTCTTTACTTCCAGACATCTTAATTGATGAAAGGCGATTTCCGATCTTGAGTTTAACTGGATAATAGGAAATACAGCCTGTAAGAACTTCTGAAATTGTTAACATTTTTCTATTGTAACATTCTTTCTATGTCTATACTTGCTTAAAAATAAATTTTATTGTTTTATTTGCAAATCTAAAACTACTTAACAGTAAAAGGTTCAGGCTATTTATTTGGATTTTGTTAACTTGGAATCTGATCATTCTCATTGGGTAAGGTGGCAGTTTATTTTTTCAAGAAAAGGCTGGCTAAGGAAATCGAGAATGTAAACAAGACCCAGGCAGGTTTAAGCTAATTAAGTGGATCATTTTTAAGAAGATCAACACATACACACAAAAAAAAGTAAAAAAGGTAATCTACACAATTATATACATACAAAAGATGTTTCTAATTTTATACTCATCTATTAGTTAAAGCAGTCTTGGATGATCTCTATTTGGAATCACTATAGCAAGAGTAAGGAGTAAGTTGTGAATTTAGGGGAAGAGAATAGAATGAATTTTGAGTATCCTCTAATTCACTACCTCAGACATGCCTTCACCATCATTAGTTTGGATTAGTGAGATTTTATTACAGACTAAAATATGTGTAAAATCAGTCTCTCTAGAAGCAAATACCCGTTATTTTTTAAAAAACTGAGGAAATACCCAAAAAACTGCATAATATAAACTGCTTAAAATGTAGGCATGTATCTGACACGAAACAAGGGCCCCAGTAACACGTGTGTATGATGCTTACACTATGACACACACTTATTTTCCACTGGCTACTTTTTACAACTTAGGTACAAAAAATATACCATTTCCAATGGGTTAGGACTGCCCTCACGAAAATTAGGGACAATTATCCTAGTAAGATTTTATTCTCTTTATAGCTACTAATACTTATTTCTCTTTACAACATACACCAGAGAGAAAATAGGAAAAGAAAAGAAAAGAAAAAGTCAAGGGGTAAAAAACACACACACACTTTTTTAGACAATGATGTAATTTCCATATTAGCTTCTCCTTGTTTTATAATTATCAGCTCCTCTCTAATGGCAAACTTGCATAGCTCGTATGGCCCTTGGCATTTATTAAGTAGAGCGCCATTATCAAAGCCACACAATTTTCCTCTATACACCTAAGCACGGATATCCATGCATATAAATGTGTAGAAGGTTAAAAAACGTTTTGATGCTTTTCAAGTGTTAATGATGCAGTACACCAGATACACAGAATGAGCTTTTTAAATAAAAGGAATTTAGAATGCTAGAGAAGGTGGGGGTGGGGTGGGGATGGGCATTCATTCATAATACAAACCCTTTCAAAAATGGAAACAAAAATCTCAACACCAAAATGCTAAAGTGAATGTATTTCAACTATACAGTAACTGTTTCGAGTTTCATTTCAGAAGTCTCTAAGAAACCTAACTGAAAAACCATCCACAAAGATAATTTCTTAGGGGAGTTATAAAGAGTAGCAGAAAAGAAATCTTCTGGAAATACATATATTTTGCATGCCGTTCTTGTTTCCAGAGCACCACCTTAAGGAACTTGCATTAGCAGGCAGTATCTTCTTAATGTCTGACCTATCCCTCCAGTCATATAGCTCAGAATCTGGTGCCATGAATTTTTGCTAAATTATGCTATCCTTGCTCTCCTCTTAATTTTACGGTTTTCAACACAGATTTGCTTTCCTGTGGGAAGGAGATAAGAAGCCGAGGATTTTAATTTAAGCTCTGGCCTTGTCTTATATTTTGCAAGATGGATAGCGAAAGCAGTACTAGTAGGTGTGTTAAAGCCAACAAGGATTATGTCCATTTTTGTGGCCAAATAATAAAAGCAATATGAAATCTCAATAATATGTATGAGCAGAATTCTAAGGGTTAGATTTTGCCTCTGCCAGCCATCTCCACCATGTACATAAATGGAACAAAGTAGATTGATTGCAACCTGCACTGAAGATGCTGAGCATGTCACCATCACAGGCAAGTGTCCTCAGCCCGAAATCTGTGGGACTCCTCCAACATCACGGGTTCTTGTCCTTTAATACTACCAGCTACACAAGATGAGAACCCTGACACTGCTACTTTGGCTAAGTTTTAAGGCAGATCACATAACCATTCTGACTTCTAGTCTTATAATCTCCAAACAACAACATGGTGCATTTTGGGGTGGGGAGGAAGGTATAATCAACTGCCTGAATCTCTATAGGCAAATTTATGTAACTACATTATGAATGCATAGATACACATTATATATGTGTGCATATGTGTACATTTATTAATGAAACCCCTAAAATGTGCCAACCACTATCCCAGGTACCAATAAACAACACAAAGTCCCTGTTCTCATCAGCTTACTTTCTAGGGGCCTGGAAGTGAGGATGGGGAGTGTAAGGGGAAAACAATAAACATGTACATTTTAAAAATGTAAATAAATATGTTAAGAAAGAAAGAAAAGAATCTGAAATAAGAGTGCCAAATACTATGAAGAAAATGAACCCGGGTGATAAGCCGCAGTGTATCTTATTATATGCCTTCAAATCACATTAAAGCTGTAAAAACCCAAAACTTTAATTAGTCCAACAGCCTTATTTTATGAGACAGGAAGGTGAGAAACAGAGGTCACCAGGGAAAAAGTGGTTAAGCCAGGACTATTGTCAGCAATTATAATAATATAACCCTGCTCACTACACAGTTCCATTAATACAGGGTCACTGCAATTATAATGGGAGTGGAATCTCTGAGCTGCCCCATACCATAGAATTGAGCAGTCAATACAGTCAATCTTTTATGGCTCTTACTCTGTGAGAGGTCCTGTGCACACAATACCTCATGTAATAGAACCTAGGTCTCCTAACTCCCACTCCAGTGCTTCTCCCATGCTACGTCTCACTGTAAATGGAGAAAAAATAAAAATCACTTGTATTCCTTTTCATGTGTTGGTAGAACCAAGTAAGCTGTAGCTTCCAGTGGAGAATCAATTACCAGGTATTCCCAATGTGTGTTCCTTTGTTTATTATTGCAGAAAGCCTACTAGGATGCATATTTATTCTGCCTTTATGAGATAGATACCTGGCAGCCTGCAATCATCACAAACTCTCCCCTCTTGCACAAAGAGGTTCAGTAACTTGTCCAAGCACAAGTTACTTAACACTGGTAACTTGTAAGTGACTTAAGTGGCTGAGCCAGGGCTTCAAACTGTGATACGCTGATTCCAAATACACATTCTTTAATCTCAGGCAGTGCATGGGTCAGGTGAGCAGAAGGAGCATAATGAAGATCGAAAAAGAACATATACTGGAAAAGGTGTAGAAAATATCAAGGGCCGATTCTGAAAGACAGCTCTCTCATTGCTCACAATGCTCACACAGGGCTACTCAGCAGGAATTTTGCAATCCTTTCCCAAACTTGAAAAACCACAATCAGGCCACCCTATTCACATCACACATAATTACAACACTTACCAAGTGCTTACTGTGTTGCCAAGCACTTTATCCTCATAACAACCTTTGAGGCAGGTACTATTATTATCCCCTTTTTATAGGTGAGGAAACTGAGACACAGAGAAGTTAAGCCACTTTCCCAAGGGCATACAGCTAGTAAGTGGCAAAGCCAGGCTTCAAATGAACAAAGTCTGGCTGGAACGCCATGTCTTTACACTGTACCATGCTGCCTCCCTGAAAAGCCAAGTCATAATATCTTGGACAGTGAGTGGACCACCTGGGCCACATCTGACAGTATGTGACATCCATGAAATGGCTGTGTCCCCATCCCAGGCATAGGAATCACATCAGACAAGGAGATATCTTAGGGGAAGCAGTTAGAGCGACAGAGACTCAACTGCAGCCGTTCTCTGCAGGACTGGAAAACATTCCAAGGAAGCCGGCTTGGCTGCCATCCAGGCTGGTCCCTGAAGGTAAGGACTTCTTTGGCATCATAGCCAATAAACCCACACCTCCTGTGGGCATGAAGTGGGTACCACTTAGGGGTTCTGAGAGCCACCCCCAAAGCAGCATTCCCAGAAATGACCCACTCACCACTGGCAGTAACTCAAGTTGTCAGCCTCCACAGAATGTGGTTCTGGGAAGGGCTAAAAAGAGGTTCAACTCCCTACTGGCTAAGGCTGCAGGCCTGCTGGTAAGTGGAGGAATTGTAGGGGATACCTGCTGGCATAGTAGCTAGTCCTCATTTTGCACATCTCCAGATTTCAACTAAAACCCAAAACACAGGATCCGGCTGTGCATAAAGGTCTCGCATTCCGTTTCAATTGGCTGTGCACTTTATCAGTAGTCCTCCTGGTAATAACTGAATCCAGGGGAGTTTTAACACTCTACCAACATACTGAAA